AACTGCTTACAATTTATAATCAGAGAGCCGAGTTCCAATTCCAGCCATCCTAGGTATGGTGATAAACTACATCTGCATCCTGGGTAAGACGATAAACTACGTCCAACAGCAAGGCCTCTGATCAGGTGGTTTTGAGGAGCGTAGAACCACCTCTAAAATGCTGGTGTTCTCAGGTCCACCCTAACCCAGAGTGGAGGCACCTGTTAGGGTCCCAACAATGGGTAAATTTGTTAACCTCCAAACTGGGGTCAAAACACTATGAAAGTGTAAAAATAGGTTTTAATATCAGAAATAATTTGTAAAAAATTATTACCAGCAATACATTTTTACAAAAAAAAAAACAGCTATACATTTTTGAAAAAAAAAAAAATTACCAGCAATTAATTTTTGGAAAAAAAAATATTGCAGCAGTAAAAATTTTGTTAGCATTAAATAACCCATTGAGGTGTTGATATGCCATAAAGCAAACAAACAAAACCAAACCATCCAAATCCAGTTAGGTTCATTATATTCACTTATGTGCAAATACCTTTGGGAAAAAAAAAATTCTTACAATTGTGACACTATTTAGCTATGGTAATTGGCTAACTAATTAACCATAGAAATTAAAAACGGGAAATACTTAAGGCAAGAAAGAGCTATATCGAAAGATAGACTGAGCAACATTAAAAAGAAATTTATTTTATTTACAAAAAAAGATATTTTTCGCAAAAGACAGAAAATCCGTAAGAAAAAGCGAGATTGTGATTCTGTCAAAATTAATTAATGTCACAATAAGAGAGTGACATGCCAAACAACAGAATTCAGACAGAGAGGCAGAGCCGGCTACACAGGGCGGCCATAAAAACATTTTGGCTCGAACAAAGCTGCAGTAAAGGTGGGGAGAATCGATATTAATTATCTTTCAGAGATATCATTTAACTTTAATTTCTTGGTTCCAGCGAAGAAAGCCGTCTGGTATATGCACGTATCTTGGCATGAGAAGGAAAATCGAAAAGGGAATCATTATTATTATTGCTTATTCAAACTGTTGACGCCAGGCATAGCGTCTCAAAAATGAGCATCTGGTGATAAGAGAATTTTAAGGCATGAGAAAAATAAAGAATTTGATTCTCAGGTAAACACAATCACCCACTGAGGGGATTGGTATGAGATACCAATGTGAGAGAGGAAGAGTCTAGGAGGATAACTCTCCTCCAACCTTCCCTCATGGATGAGGGAGGAACCCCCGAAGTGGAAAGTGATTAATCTTCCAAAAATGGGAAGTAATTCATTTTCCTGGCCTAGGAAGAAAGAGAATTCTTGTTGGGAATTGAGAATTATCAAGGAACACAAACCACATCAAGCCCCCACACCGGGTTTTGGTCGGTGTCCATATAAACAAACGTCTCGAGGCAGTTGCAGTCAGTTTGAGTTTGGAGTTAGTTCAAGTTGGAGAGTTGAGTTTCAGTTGGAGACCAGCCTCACAGAAGCTGACCAAAAGATTTCCATGTCCTCTCAACTTAGCCTTCCTACCAAAAGCAAGTTTTATTGACAAACAGTTTAAGATACCATAACTCGCTTAAGAAACACAAAAAAGTGTCACGAATCCATAGAAACGGGCTGGGAGAGAAACACACTACTCCTGTATTCAACAGACAAAGATAATTGTTATTTCTCAACATATTTGAACCTCTTGAGTTTGTTTTATTTTTTTTTTTACTTACGCTTGTGCGGTATCACCTTTACCCCGGATTCAGCTTGCACTACGGTCCAACACCTGATTGATTTCATCTACCTAAGATCAAAGTCACAATGCGGATAGGTGAGACTTGAGATCAAAACAGTTACTTCGGTGACCAGGCGTTGGAGGCAAGCTGAGAACGACAAAGCTGGTATTGAACCGGGAATGACCAGATCAACTGGGACACAGGCTGGTGGCAGCAACAAAGAGTCAACTCCAAAACGCTGGTGGAAGAAACCTTACAGCTTCACGCCGCAACTGGGAGCTGACCACAGGCTGACAGAGCAGTGTCATATAATGACGTCGTGACCAGTAGACGTCACATATTGGCGCGGCTACCACACCAGTGGGTGTCACATATTGGCGCTGCGACTGCGACCACGACCACTGGTGTGTGTCACACAATGTAAAAATATTTTCTGGTTTTAAATAACCTGAAAAGGGTTGATAAGCCAAAGAAAATCAATCAATCCACATTTTCCAAGCCCTCTTTCCTCATTAAATACCTTAGAAATTTCAACTATCCCTTCCTGATGTTAAGTATCTGTCCTTTCTGTTTCCATTTTCTCTAAAATTTCATCATTGGTCACATTCAGTCCATGATACTCTCAGTATTCTTCTGTAGAACCAAATTTCTTTTGCTTCAAGTTTCTTCTTCGTCTGTGAGGAGATTGTCCAGCATTCATAGCCATATAGGACTGATATTACATAATCATTCAGTACTCTTTTCTTTGTTTCTCATGAAATTTTTTTGTTTCTTAATACTTAACTTAGCTTTTGGAAGGCATCTTTTGCTATCCCAATGCTCCTTCAGATTTCAGTGTCACACTTTCAATCCTCTGTTAAAACACTTCCCAAATATTTAAATTTTTGTACTTGTTTGATTTTGGTATCTCCAATTTGTAATTTGGGTTCCTCTTTTCGCTAACAACCATGTTCTCTGTCTTCTTGCAATTGATGTTTAGTCCTTTCTTCATGCTTTCCTTCACTACCATCTGTAGGAGTTCTTGTAGTTTCCTTTTTATATCTGCTGTCAACACTGTATCATCTGTATATCTTATGTTGTTAAAATTGTGGTTACAAATAACAATTCCTGGTAGGACTTTTAATTCCCTCAGAATTGCCTTACTGTATAGGTTGAATAAGTCTGGTGAGAAGGCACATTCTTGTCTTATATCCTTTCCTATTTTTGTATATTGTAGTGAAAAGTTTGTAAGATTATAGTTTCTTCTGGCGTGTAATCAATTCCTGCAATACATTTCCTTTAGTCAAACACTGCACTGACAGCAACCTGTGTCTCCTGTTCAATACAGCAGTCAACGTTCTACTTGTCACCTCATTATGCCCTTTTTTATATCCTCATTGACAGCCACAATTTACATATATGAAAAGATATTCTTGCAAGAGAGTATCCAACTCCAGGATCTATGTGCTTTAAATGTGTAACCTGCGAAGCTGCCATTTCTTTCTTTGGACAGTTTTACATACAAGGCATGTTCAAATTCATTTTCATCCTGGAGGTTTTTTTTTTTTTTGGTTTTTTTTAAGCATTTCACCCCAAGCAAGGCGGGAAGCCACTAGGATGCAAGGGGTTACAGAAAATATAGAGCGAGATCAGATAGGAGTGATAGAAGAGGGTATGAGGAGAAGGGTAGTGGATAGATCAAGGCAACTGGAGATGTTGATTGACATTACAATTGAATAGCTGGAGATTATAGCTCTCAGGGAAACTGGAATAGGGAAGGGAGTTCCACAGGCGAAAGGTGCGAGACATGAAGCTATTAGAGTAGAAGAGACGGCTACATTTAGGAGTTTCGACAGTGAAGGGGTGGGAGCGGGATGCCAGCCTCGTAGGGCGCTTGAACTCATGAAGTCTGGGAACCAGCGAATGCAGCTCCTCGGAGCAATTGCCATGAAAGTATTTGTAGAACAGACAGAGAGAGGCAACTGCGTGTCTGTGAGAAAGTGACTGTAGACAAGATGCCAGAGCAGGGCCAATTATATTGCATATCCGCTTCTGGAGCCTATCAAGAACCCCGAGGCAAACAGAAGGGGCACCAGACCATATATGGCAGCAATACTCCATGCAAGGGCGAATTGTTGATTTGTAGATCTGGAGGTTTGATTCCGGGTAGAAAAATAAGTCATTTTCTCTAGCGTTACATTGACCGTTGCAAAAAATGTATGTGACCTTGGGCCTCTTTGACCTCTGCAGTAGTTCATTATATATATGTACTAAACTTATTTTATATCTGTATGCAGGCAGTTTGCTGCCAATTTAGGCTGTGGATAATCCTCCCAAAATATGTCAAAGTGGCCTAGCAGTTCCAAAAGTTCTTCATCAAATGTCACATTCACCAAAAAGTTGTGTCAATTCATTAATATAATGAGATTTAGTAACCCCAGCCCATACACACACATGCAATGGTTAGCTTTACACAAGGTCATAACATGGAGCCCCACACTGGGATCAAATTTGGCTTCCCCTCTTTTTAGTGCAATGCAGCGGTGCTTACATTGGAGGAGAATCTGAAGTCAGATTTCCTAACTTTTGCTTCCAGTCCCATAAAGAGGTCAATGATTATTCTATAAATTTCTACTTCACAACCTGTAAAGGTCGTTTGTTCGACATAGGCCTTCACCAGATCCATGGGGGGGAATCAGCCATTGGTAAGGGGTGGATTTTTCTTCTTTTTTTTTTTAAGCTTTTCACCCCAAGCAAGGTGGGAAGTCACTAGCACGCAAGGGGTTGCAGAGAGTTGGAGCGAGAGCAAAGAGGAGTGATAGAGGAAAGGATGAAGAGAAGGATAGGGGATAAATCAAGGCATCTGGAGACATCGATTGATATTACATTACATTTGAATAGTTGAAGTTTATAGCTATCAGGGAAACAGGAAAAGGGGAGGGAGTTCCACAGGTGAAAAGTGCAAGACATGAAGCTATTGGAATAGAAGAGACGGCTACATTTAACAGTTTTGATAGTGAAAGGGTGAGAGCAAGATGTCAGCCCCTTTGAACGTTTAAATTCATGAAGTCTGGGAACCAGCAAAAGCAGCTCATCGAAGCAGTTAGCGTGAAAGTATTTGTTTAAAAGACAGAGGTAGGTGACAGCATGTCTGTGAGAGAGCGACTGCAGATAAGATGCCATTGTGACATGCTTGGGTGATCACCCAAGGGTATTTGTGCAGAAATGAATGCATCAAATCTGACTGGAATTCAAATTCTGTTGACTTCACATCCTGAGCCATTATCCATTACACAACCCACACATTCAAACTTACAGCACCTGGTATTCCCAACCAGTCACTCATCTAGGTACTGACCAGACCCGATGTTGCTTAACGTCTGTGATTGAATAAGAACTGGTGATATGACTGTAAGCCCTACTAATTTTACATAGGTATATATTTAGATATAGTGTGTTTGTTTATATATATATATATATATATATATTTGAGGGAAGATGTGTGACAAAGTGGAAAAGGTTTTCATATCAATTCATCAGACCTACAAATTCAAAAAGCTTTTTGATTTTGTAGGTCTGATGAATTGGATCATGATTACAATTCCAATGTAATAAATTATAACCATGGAATATTAGTGCTTAAGCCTTTTATATAGATATAGATATTGATAATATTAGTGGTCTATATATATATATATATATATATATATATATATATATATTTCCAAGAGGTAGAGCTCAATGTACAAAACAGAGCAAGAATATAATATAAAAGGCTCAAACACTAATATCCCATGGTTATAATTTATTACATTGGAATTGTAATCATGATCCAATTCATCAGACCAACAAATTCAAAAAGTTTTTTATTCAAAGATATATTGTTAACAACAAATGTCTATTATGCTTGATCATGAGCCATTCTAAGCTTCGTAGCATAGCTTTAATTTCAAGAGAAAATAAAGACAAAAACTGTGCAACATTTGGATATTTTTTATTATGCTGTTCCTCAATCTAAGCTTTTGGCTCACATTAGCTATCATCATGGACATTTCAACAAAGATATTCACCATCAAAGATGATATCCTGTTATGTTGACATAGAAGATTGCTATGCGATGATAACGGTCACAGAATAGCAGACGCAGGTCGTAAATTCATGATGCGGTTCTATGACGTCGTACCACGTGAGAGAACGAAATATTAACAACAGAACCATGTCTAGATGCGATGTAATGTGTTGTGACTAGTTTGAAATGTAATTTTGTTGAGTGTCAGTTGCTTCGTTTTAATTTAGATGGCCTCCAATATCTGAAGGTTCTTTTTATTGTGTGTATGTGTGAATATTATTGTGTTGTCAACTAATATCTGTCTAAAATTATGTACATGGCTATGTTTTTTCTAAGAAATGTTGTTTAATAGAACTAAGATCAGAAAGGTGACAGGTAAGTCTACGGGGGAGTGTAGTTGTAGTAAAACCAATATATGTATTATTATGCATTTGGTTACAATAGTATAAGTTAATAGTGTTATGTTTATTTTGATGTACACCATTATGGTTACAATTATTATTAATGTTATCAATTTTGTTAGTGGTATTATTAAGTTTATTGATTAATAATAGAAAGTGTAGTGATTAGAATATATAAATAATTTTTTTTTCTCATGCATACTTGTACATGTACATATACACATATTTCTGATATATATATATATAATTATTTATTTAAAAATATGATTCCAACACTACATAAGAGTTCTTTGTATCAAGCACTGTTTTTTAAAAATAATAACAAAAATACTAAAGAACTTTGGATTATTTACCTAATGAGTTCTTTCCTATTTTCTATATATTTTTACATATATATATATATAAAAACATGTATACATATATGGTATCCCATATATACCCATACAGACACACACATATACATACATCTTACTTATTATAAAATGCAGATTGTGTGTGTGTGTGTGTGTGTGTGTGTGTGTGTGTGTCTGTACATTTATATATTGGATCAGATTTCCTACATTTTTCAACTGATTTCAACAAAACTTCACAGGACTGCGTAAAATTACCTTGCGGTGGTTCTGGCAGCGCCCAAAATTGGAAAAACACAATTGTTTTTGCCCAAAATCAATTTGAAAACACGATTCTGTCACCAGAATGAAAGGGGGACAACTCATATCGAGTTATACTTATTATAAAACCCAGGTTCTTTGTGAGTGTGTATTCATTTATATATGGGATCAGATTTCCTACATTTTTCAACTGATTTCAACAAAACTTCACTTTTATTTTGGCAGGTAGTGTTTCTTATTGTCTTGCACATTTTTTTCTTTATTTTTACATTCAGAATGCTTTAAAAATTCCATTTACAAGACAATTGTTTATAATAAAATTCTGTTCAATCGATAGACTCTTAACGATTGAAAACAATATTTTTGTTTGAGTTTAGATTTGACCAATTCGTAAAAAAAAAAAAAGAAACAAAACAAAAAAAACTAATTAAGACATGCGTGTCCGTCAACCTTAAACAATAATCTTTGTCAATTTTATTTTTCAGTCTTTATGATGGTCGATACTTGATCTATCTCTTACTATTACTGTCCCCGGGCAATGCCAGGCTCTACTGCTAGTATGATATATACATTAAAGCCATTTTTTTTATTACTTTATCAGGTGCACTGATGTGCAGACTGTGTTAAGAAAATTGAAGCAGTGTGATGATGATATTTTCCATGTAAATATATTATTGATATCTGTGTGTATTTTCTTTCCTCATGTTTCCCTTTTTTTAGTTGGTGTACACAATAGTTTAATTTCCCCAGTCGAATAACTGGTTAGCTCATTTGCAGAGGTATAAATCCAACTCTTCTCCTCCCAGCTATGGGTTAATTAGTAAGACTTGTATCACTAAATCATTATTATCTAAAAAATAATTCTTCCATTATAAAATTATTTTCTGGTTTTAAATAATCTGCAAAGTGTTGAGAAGCCATAGAAAATGAACCAATCAATTTTAATTGTCTGCTTTCATTGCATTAATTAGATTTTGTTCATCCAATAGGATTTTTAATTTAATTATATTGCTAATTAATTTAATACTCATTATTATATAACTAAAAATTTCCAATAAAAAAAACTGCAGTGAAATATTAATTTCTTAATAATACTAAAAATAAAAAAAAAAAGAAAGTGAAGGGATATTTCATAAAGTAGCTAGGTAAGTTGATTCACTGTGTTGCACTCAAAATCAATTTTGCTCGCCAGAATCTATCTTACATATTTCTAAGTCTACCATTCTTTCATTCATTGTATATTGCTGCCACATCTGGTCTAGTGCTTCTGCTATGTATTTAGAGATTCTTGATAAAATACAAAGAAGAATCAGCAATATTATTGGTCCTGGCCAGGCATCTCAGCTTCAGTCACTTTCTCACTACCATAACATAGCTTTCCTGTGCCTGTTTCTATAAATATTTTTTGTTCTGATGAGGTTTCCTCTATAGTACCTAGACTTTATGAATTTAAGTGCAGTACTAGTTCTTATCATTTTACAGTTAAAATGGTTAGATGTAACCATAAGTTCTATGCTAACAGTTTCTTTTCTCACACTTCTTGCTTGTCGAACTCTCTTTTGGCCTCTTGTTTTCCAATCAACTTTAATCTTCAAAAATTTAAATGCAATGTCAATCATATATGTGTTTTATGAACACCACCTGGGTGGTCACAGTGTCTGTTTGAAATGGGCTAGTACATGGTTTGAAAACTGGTTAGGGTGAAATTAATTTGAAGCTGAGGACTAGAGAGAAACCAGATGTCCCTTTTCTTCAACAGTTGCTTGCAATTTTTATAATTATCATTACTTTGATTTCTGATGAAGAATCCTTCACCAGGAAGAAAGCCATCTGGTTAATTTAAGGGAATATGGAGGTAATAAAACATGAGCTACGAGCATTCTAAATTGTCATTTTTCAAAGACTGGCTAGGTAAAGTGATGTCATTAATCATTGTTATTGGTGGAAGATTTCCCCATATGAGTAAGCACACATTTCACTTGGCAGTCATTTTCTGTGAAGGGAGCAAATTAGCCAGATTTGATAACACACCTGCATTTCACCGAATACACAGACCCTTTGAACAGAGAGAACCCTCTGACATCATTTCATAGAAGTTAAAATTCTGTAGACTTATTTTTTTTTTCTCTTCACATTAAATTTTAAGTTTACAGAATGCATTCAGTTCATTTATCAAAAAACTTTTCTCCCCCTCAAGCAAGCCAGCAACAATTGACCATAACCAGAAGCGAAAAGTTACTATGGTTTGTGGGAGTTCAATTTCATTGATTTTCTTCAAGGACACAACGGCAGTATTTAAGTCCAACTACTGATGATCACCATCAAACAGATGGAACTGAAAAGACTTAATCTCTGTTCAAGTGAAGTGGGACAGATAAATCTACTGGCCTTGTTGGCACAATGTAGTTGCTGATACAAATTCCCCTATCCACCTGGTTATAACTGATACAGCAAACCAACCAGTTATAATTGAGTGCTGTGACAAGGAGCTGATTACACCCCAGACCAACCTGTTACAAAAATGAAATGATTTAAAAAAAAAAAAAAAAAAAAAAAATCAAACAAGAAGCTTAAAATTACTTTTTGAATTTCTCAATTTTTAAAATTTATTCTTTCCAGCTGTGTACAGAAACTAACTTTCATATCAGATAAAAAATATTGACCTTTCAATAATTCAAACTCAATCATCTCCAGAGTTTAGCCCTGCCTGTGCAGAGTAGCGGTGAGAGATGTGAAGTGAAGCAGGTTGGAGTTAAGGGAACTACTCTCCGGGAAGGTGGATAATTTTCCAAATTTGGAAAGTTGATTAAAAAGCAGAAATAGGAAATAAAGAAAACCCTTATTTGAATTAATGATAATTAAAGAATCAACGAATCCCCAGAACCCTTCAGCCCCATGCCAGTTTTGGGCCAAAGGGCATATAAACAGATAACTTTGGGGAGTATGAAGACTTTGGGCTGAGAACCTGCATCAACTGCTTCTGGAATACACATCAATTACCACCAGAATTCCTGATTCCAAGTCTTTGAACCTAGCCTTCCAGAAGTTTAGAGAAAGCCCAGTGTCGCTAGAAAGATTGATGTGGGAAGGGTTAATTTTTGTTGTACCAAGAGCTATATAAACCAATTTCTCGTTTTATTTTTGTGTCATGAATACTTTTCCTTAATGTATCACTAGCCATGGCTTGACCAGTGCTGCAAGTCTACAACCATCAATCTTCTACTGCTTTGAGATCAAGAACACAATGGGGGCAGAGACAGTGTGGATTGAAATTGCCAGCAACCAAGAACCAGCTTGGACTAGCATCATCATTGACCAGCGCAGAGTTAGCTAGTGGTTAAAGTGTCCTCCTAAGACCCTGAGGACCAGATCACTAAATGTGGTTACACCACCGGGCATAGGCAGCAGCAAAAGGTGTTACATTATTTGGTGACCATGACCCTGTTTCAACTTAAAAGAAGACAAAGATTGTAAGAAACAAGTTGTGAAGTTCCTCACAAACAAAATTCATATCAAAATTATTTTTTTTTAATTTTACAGAAGAAATGGATTGTCTTAGTATAGGGGTGAAAAGTATGTGTAAAATTATCATGAGGAAAATCCACAATTTACGTTATCTTATGTATGCATGGTGTAAACTTAGTAGCGACAGACTGGTTAGCCAATTAATATAAGTATGGATATAGTTTTGACAACTACGCTTTGTGTCACGTGGGCATTTTCATAATGTAAACTGTGCAAACTTGTTTATGAAAATATTTGAAAAGCAAAAAATAATTTACACAAAGGAACTTTAGTATTCAATAAGTTAATTTGAGTATGTGAAAATTTGAGTAATATTATTTACATACTGGTTGAAGATATATGAAAAGAAACTAGTCTATTAATTTATGTTATGCTATTTATAAGAAAAAACATTACAGGAAATTAAAAGTTACATTTGTTAAACTAAAGTTTTATTGGTTAATGAATATATTTCATGATTTTTTTTATTTTGGAGAAAAAAGATTGTTAATCATTTTCTTAATGTGAGCCTTCATTTTTTTTTTTTTAGCATACAAGAAATGGAGGTTTGTTTTTCAAAGTGTGAATCTTGTTAGAATTTGAATGAAGTTCATATGATCCTACTTTTGTACAGTATTGAAATTTTAGTGATAGTTATATGCCATGTGTGATACACGCGTAGGCGATCATGTATCTTTCGATACATGACTGACGGGGCAGATTTTCTCCGTGCAGTAGGTTGCCATTTCTTTCTGTGGTAGACCAGTTGCCATCCAAGGCTCTAGAACCCAGTCTGTCCCGCTATTTATCCATAGCTAGGGGGAGAAGATGATTCATACTTTTCCCAAGGGTATTAGCATGTAAGTAAATGTAATGGATTTGACTGGAATTCGAACTCGGCTCTGATTCCTCAATCCAAGCCGCTATCAATTACTCCACCAGGACTTAAATCTATTGAATTTCTTTTTCCACAATTTTTAACTGGGTTCTACATATAACAATCCATCACAAAAGCTGGAAAAACAGTTTGCTCCTTGTATCACTCCAGAAAGTATATATCTACCATGCTTCATCAAGATCAGACCAAAAATATAATATTGCTGCCATATGTGGCCTGGAGTTGCCCAATCCTCCTTTTTCAACCATAAAATTCAAAAGTATTTACTCAGCCTTATAGGAAATTAATTATTTTCCACCCTACAATCCCTTTCCTCACAGATGCAGTTATATTATCTACAGTATTTACATGCAGGCTATTGTCCTCATCTTTGTTTACCACAATGGGTGAAACAAAGGTAAGAACAGTCTGCATGTAAATGTTGCTACTTCCAAATCCTTTGGTAAGGGCATTCCAATCGAAAAAAAAAAAAAAACAACACATTTTTCCAAGAACTGATGTTTTGTGTAAGACTCCCAAGATGATACTTCCAGTATCACTAAAATCTTCAAGTCTAGGGACAATAGTTATCTATCCACCATATCCTCAATCTTCACTTCCGATTTCTCCTAAAGAAAAGGAGAAAAAAAAGCTTTTGAGCAGAAATCCAGCATCTCTAATCTTCTAAATAAATAAATGGCAAATTCTATCTAAAAACCTCTAGCTCTGGCCACATTTGCTCTACATAAACATCATTTTTTGGAATCAGGATGATTCCAGGATTGAAAATCTGCCCTTCATCTGGTACTTGAGCATCCAGCATTGGGATTTTTGTCCAGATGAAGAGGGAAGTTAAAAACTCAAATTTTAAAAGAACTGAAAGAAAAAAATGATGATGATTTTAAGTTTTTATTCTATATTGAAACTGAATTTAAAATTTTTCTTTTAAATTAAGTTTAAAATATCTCCAAAACTTTATGAATTGAGGAAATCAATTTTATTTCTTCAAAATGCCAAGGAATCAGAGTTAAAGTGATGTTTATGAAGTACCATGGAGTGAACTGAGGAATTCAAAATTATCATTGCTGTTTCCTATGCTGAACCAGGTTTCTTTTGTTTTGGGCTGGAAACCTTATTAGCACTCCATAGGAGCTAGCTTAAATGTCTGAATGGAATACAGTCTTTACGTTAGTTTTTAATAATTTTAAAAAAGTAAAAATTGTCTTACTAGAGATGACACAATCAATATGTATATAGATATTTTAAACAGATTACAAAGAAACATTAATCCTCAAAGCGGAACTCCACAATCAATCCATTACTAAACTCTAGAAAAATTATTTGTGATACATGCTGTTTCCATTATGGCTATAAATTGGCAACAGCCAGAGAAAATGGACTTTTTTTTTTTTTAAATATATAAGTGGCTTATCAACTTTTTGAGTTATTTAAAGCCAAAACATAATTGGATAATTTTTTTTGTGAGTGAATATTGCAAATTTTGAAGTATAAAGCAAAGGTTAGACTTTTTTTCATAATTTTCCAGACAAATCAGCCAATATTTTGCCATATTTATGAGGAACCTATTTTTTGGAGAACAAAAAGTGTATTAAACCATAGCAAAATTTTTAAAATCTCTTTAGAAGTTAATTTGTAATTGTAAATTTCTCTTCAAGTTTGTTAATGCTAACTATAAGACAATAATTCCTCATCTCAGAAAATTACTAATTACGTTAAAGGGTATTCAATAATTACAAGGTTTTTTAGTCCATCTTTATATAAATAAATATATTACAAAAATAAAATATTTTACAAAGCAGAAACAAAAACTTAAATGTCCATAAACTTATTTGATATACTATCAACTATGCCCTTCTGTGTGAATAAATTGCTGAAGACTCTTGGTGTATGACTCACATATAACCCCTTTGAGGGATTTTGTCCTATTCCTTCAAGAGTTTTGCCCTCAGAGACTCCAAATTGTGGTGGCATGTAACAGAAACCTAAGATTTCTAAGATACCTGAATCCTTAACTACAGCATCTCGGGTAAGGGGATGATAGAGGCCATTTTTCTTTCAAGAAATGAGGAACATAAGTTGCTTGTCAATATTGAGAGTGCTGAATCTTTTGGAATGTTTTTTTTTTAGCTCAAGGCAACAGTGATGACTCAAGGTCCTTTACATAATTTTCCCAGTTAAGTTTAACCCCTGGTTCTACAAAAAACAGGACGTTTTCCTGTCACAGCAGCCCATATCACAGCAACTGCTCCTTGTTTTCAAGTAACTGTTTCCAATTAAAAGACCAAATCCAATCATTCTGGCTATTAAATGTCAATTTTCTTCTCATCACAGAACAAGTTTTGGGAGCGTGGCTGCCAAAATGCACTTGAGGACTTTGCATTTCTTTACAGAGCTTGCAGATAACAGCAGTTTCTTTTGATGTTTGTAAGTGGATTTGGAAAGCTCTGGGATTTGAGCAGGACCTTGTCCTTGCCTGTTCTTCACATTCCCAGTCTTGTTGAATATTTTGATGGTTCTCCACTCTAACATTCTGTTCATTTTTAATGATTTGGCAGTATCCTTTGCCTGGTTCATTTTTAAAATGGTGATTCTTTTAGTTCAAATTTAGCCATTTCCAAATCTAATGCCTGAAACAAACCTGAATTTACTACTCAAATCTGGTCTTAACTCTCAGTATATTTACTGAACTATCCTAACTTTAAGGTGTTACATTTTCTTGGTATAGCTATTAAGCTATCCTTTTAACGCCCAAAGCATCACATAACATCCCAAAAGACAAATTTTTAAAATTAAATTAAAATTAATTTGAGTGTAATGATAAATATCGAACACCCTGTATTTTTGTGATAATAGAAGGAAAATATACCACAGGCAATTAATGTAAATAGGAATTCTAAAGCTTTATACAAGGTATGGCAGACATATCTCCCACATAATGTTAAGACATCAGTGACAATGGTGTCTTCATCTAGCAAATTTTTTACTATCATCTGGGAGGCATTTCTGCTGTAGCCTGTATTTAAACCACTGTTAGCAAACAAATATTATACAATGTACATTAATAAGAAAAGACATGTTAGAGGTTTGGAATTTTTTTTTTTATTCATTTCAGTTACTGAATATTTCCTGTATTGTATAGGTCAATATTGTAACCATGGAAACAAAGGATTCATTACAAAATTTTGGTCACAAAATGAGAGTCATGCCCACAGGTAAAAAGCAACCAAATAGTATAAAGGCTGCATCTAATGATCACTTTCATCAGGACATCCAAAATGGATGTAAAGAACCTGGTTCCTACTCTGACCCCAAAAAACCTTTCAACTCTACAATATCTGATTGAAAAGTTGACCTTTATGGATTTATAGTTTCCTTTCAAGGGACATATTCATGGCATGGAAAAAAAAAAGGGGGGGGGGGTACCTCTTTCCCCCCCATGTCGGTTGTTGTGGAAGATGTTGATATTAAATTATCACACACAGAAACATTACTTCAAATGATCACATTTCAGACAAGTAAATGAAGAAAGCTCTTCAATTCCGAACCCTGAAACAATGTTTGATGAAAGAGACCAAAGAGAAACTTTAGCAATTCAATCATACACACATTATTATCTTATGAGAAGCAGTTAACAAAAAGCCAGTCAAGCAAATAAATAGATAATGATGTCCATAACTAAGTATAAACACCACTATAACATTTGCTGACTTGATGCTTGATACCTCTCAGAATGGTGGTTGCCTGTGACATTTGCCAAAAGAAGCCAGTACAAGAGAAAAAAAAAAAAAAAAAAAAAAAAAAGACACATAGCATGGCTAATAAATGGAGATAAAGTGAATGAAGTTGGTGGGAAAGCTAATAACTTTCACCAGGAGCACGAATATCATCGATTTTTAGAATCATACGGACTAGCTGAGTTGCCAGCATAATTTGTTGCTTCTTTGCAGTTAGAGTTTCTAAGACATGTTGTTCCTTCATATCTGGAAGGAAAAAGAAAAAAAAGCAAATTAAGATTAAATTGATAAAAAGTTACTTATCATTAAATAAATATTTAAAAGTTAAGAATTATGAAAATGTTAAATGTACAGAAATGGTAATTAAAACACACACACATATTACAGACACACACACAAAACCTAGTGTATCTAGGTCTGCTCTACGGTTGTATTGAGCTCTTGTTAGTTAGTTGTTTACTCGTGTCGGGGTTTTTTCTTTGGGCTTCAAACCTGTATCTGTGCGATTTTTTTTTCGACAGTCTTTCATGTTTCTAGCTCTTTCTTTTTTTTAACCCCCTCTCGAGATTGATTTGATTATTGGCAAATCAAAAATTTGAGGTTTTTTTCAAACGAAAGTTATATATATATATATATATATATATATATATATATATATATATATATATATATATATATATATATGTGTGTGTGATTTTGGGGGTGGAGATAATAAGTAGTGTTCCCACTTACCAGAAGTTTCTTTACCAAGGCAATCAATTCCAAGTCTTGGGTTATTTTCTTTCAATTGCCTAGATTTTATTTCTGATAAAGTTTGAATTGGTTCCAGACCACTGTTTTCAGCAAGAGCTAAAGGAATAGATTCCAATGCACTAGAAAAGGCCCTCATAGCATACTGTTCCAGAGTAGATACCTATAAATGAAAAAAAAAAACAAAAAAACAAACCATCACATTTGTGGATGCCAAAAAGAAAATGAAGTCTTAATAAACTGAAAGACTAACCAATTGAAGTTCATTTGGAGTAGGTCATATGTAATAGAAACAAATTAGGGAAATAAATATGAAAACTTAAATTAAATCAGTACTCTAACAAGAAATTTTTTTGTTTCTTAAATTTTTAAATTAATCAAATTGTTGCCATACGATGTGGGGTAACCAAAAGAAAAAAAAAAAAGAACTTAAAAAAAAAAAAAAAAAAAAAAAAAATCAAAAAAATTCAAACTACTAAGTTGATACAAAAACTGTTCAGTGTATCACATTTTAGTAGTTAGCAGGACATCAAAGTTTGTCACAAATGATTCCAGCCAAATGAAAACACACATGTAAAATATTTTTTGAAAGAGAATTTAGTAAAATATTCTGAATTATATGAAAATTAAATTTATAATCCTTTTGTCCATAATCATATAATAGTTGAAGGAATAAAATAAATATTTTCCCATACCTTGTCAGCCATTTTTTCTACAGCCAACGAAGACGCTATTTCTGGAGCACCACCTCCATACACAATTCTGTTGTCTTTCAAAATATTACGGATAACACACAAAGCATCATGAAGACTTCGCTTTGCTTCATCAATGATCTATAAATAAAATATTTGTATGTCAGAAGAGAAAAATTTACTATAATTGCATTAATTATTCAAATAATTACTAATAAAGTCATTTTGTTATTTTTATTAATAAACCAAGTTTGTAAGTCTTCTAAATTTTTATTTGAATCAATATTCACTATAACGGAATTGAATTTTGCAATTCTAATCTTTTTGAATTTCGTAAGTAATTGAAACAAACACGCGTAAATAATTTTAGGCTGTCTCTGCATAAGACCCCCTTTCTCAGATGATATTTAAAAAAAAAAAAAAAAAAAAAAAAAAAAATTAAACAAAGAAAATTTTCAAGTACCATTTTATTTCCTCCTCTGATGAAGATGGTGACAGCCTTGGAATTCTGGCAATCTTCAATCACCAACATGCGGTCTTTAGTTGTTCCAAAAGTTAATTCACGCACAGTTCCAGCTTTTCCCAATTTATCAGCTGTTAACTCAGAAAAACGAGGGACAATGCGACCACCTGTTGCAATAGCAATCAGCTGCAATGAAAAAGAGAAACACGTTTACAAATTACTAACTCACCAGTTGGCATGCAAAGCTACAAGTAAAAATTGGTGACAGGCAGATTTGAGCCAATTAAGAAGTCCAGCTTTTATAGATTTACTTACAAGTGAAGTAAATAAATTGTTTAAATTTTACCTTGCATGAAATTGTATCCACACCAAAACCAAGTACCCCCCACAAAAAAACAACAGATCAGCTGAAGATTACCTCTATTTCTGGTCCTCCAACCCAGCGAACAGCAGGTAGTTGTTTCTGCAGCAATAGATGGTTGGCTTCATCATCAAACCCCCATTGACAAATGGCAAGATTACATCCTGTGCTTTTGACCTGAAATGAGCAATGTAAAAAGGTTGTAACATTCACCTTTAGATACAGTAAACAATTTAGATAAACATCTTTTAATTCTCACCATTAGAGAGATCCATTTTATATTGTACACATCAAAAACAAAGTAGTTTTGCCACTGACCTGGTCAACCATTTCTTCAAATTTCTCTATTTCATAAAGTCTTAATTTTTTATAATCCTCCACTGATGTAACATCCAACTTGTGTTTCGTCTTTGGCTTAGGAGGTTCAAATGGACAAGTCAGGATCCCAATTTTAGCATCTTTAACCAACTGCAATAAAATTGCAATACAGTTATGAAAACTAAAATAAACATACATAAAGTGTGTGTGTAACGAGATGATTTTTAAATGCAGACATAGAAATCATCTCAATTAAACTCACTACATATATATATATATATATATATATATATATATATATATTTATGAATTTATATATGTGTAATGCGTGAATATATTTGTAGAATATAGTTCTATGAATATATATGTATACATAGGTGTATGTTTTATACATAAGTTCTAATGGAAGGACAATTTTTTTTTTTTTTTTAACCTTTTAATCTTGCTCATCTGGAGATGATCTCAATTTAAATCGATCACTTAGATTTAAATTGAAATATATTTCACCTTAAACATGAGTCATAATGTTAAAAATATTAAAATTAAAAATATTTTTTGAAATTTAAACACTTAATTCACCACCTAACGTTAACTGTAAAAATTTAAATATGTATAAATATGGATGCGTGTGGAGATATGTAAATGTATATGCATATATACCGATGTATATGGTTATATGTGCAATGGCACATGTACATGAATGTATGTGTTTTTTCCGTAAACATGTATGTGGTGTATGTATGAAAAAAAAAACAAAAAAAAAAAAAACTAATTTTTTTACTATTACCTTCAAATCTTACTCCATCTTAATTTGAAACCTAAACTTTAATTAAGAAATATTACCCATCTAAAAATAGCTACAAATTAAATTCATGAATTAGACTAAATGATAAAGATTTTACCTTAAAAGTCATTCACAATATTAGAATATTACTATTAGTAAATTTTTATTTTTTTTTAATTATTGTTGTTTATTAATATAGTATTCAACTTGTATTAAATCCCTAATTTATTTGTGGAGAAGTTGAATATTTAAAATTGCTAACAAGCATTAAATTTATTTTCTTTGTGCAGTTTTTAAACATTTAAATTACTATCAAATGTTAAAATCTATTTTTATCTAAATTGCTAAAGCCATACCACCTCTCTTCTTCCTCCAAAAACCCTATATACATCTCTTATCTCTTTTCTTCCCCCTTTTACCATATCATTTCCATTGAGTTGACTGATTAAATAGGACAATGTTGGATCCTTACCCCCCTCCTTCCTCAATATTAAGTATTATAATAAAAAGAAATATAAAAATAAGTTTTAAAACTCTCCCTTCCCTCTCTAAACTCGACCATGTCTCTAATACCATCCCTCACCACCCTCTATGTCAACCTATATAAGCTTAATACTGCCAGCCAAAAGCGTGAATTTGAAATTCATTTCTTGTTTCACCTTTTGAAAGTGAAGTCTGAAGATCCAGAGAAAAATAAAATTCTCTAGTGAAATAAATTATTACAATGTAGCCGTAAAGTTGTCTGTTTTTCTTTAAATTATTCGCTGTGAATTAACATTGAGCTCTCAGGATTTCATCTTCCTTGGGATTATCCATATGGATTACCAAGATTTTCGTTACTTATATAAGAAACATTAGCTGTCTCATTGTTTAGTTCTTAATATTAATTTAGAACTACTGTAAAGAATTATTTACATCTTGAGGGAAAAAACACAGAACAGATAGCCCTTCTGTTCATTTTGTTTCCAGATGGGAAAACCATAAAATGCATATCACTTAACATATTCCAGAGTTTTTGAAATGAGTTAAAGAAAAAAAATAAAATAAAAAGGAGGGGGAAATGATTTTTATTGAAAGAGAGAACTGCCCACAAAAATAAACATAAGCAATACAATGTTATGACTGAATAGGGCACATAAATTAGCCAAGTGAGAAATTATATCAAGTATTTAAAAGTTTGATATCTAACCCCAATCAAAAGTCAAAAACCCTTCAAATTTTGATTTTCAAAAAGATAAAAATAATTTTTCTAAGTACAAAATAGTATCAATAGACTTATATGTATTTCTTGTGTATTTTTTTTTTTTTTAGACAGGTTCCAAAACACTAATTTAGGTTTCAGTAATTGTCAATATTTAAGCATGCAGCAATAAAAAGGCCTAAAACTTTTTATAATTGTCAGTAGAGAAAGTAAGATTTTGAGTTAAAAGCCATTAAAATTTAAGAATCACTGTCTCCTTTCAATACAAATTTGATGAACTCAAATGATAAAATGAGTACTGAACGGATTTAATCTTGCATGGAATCTGATCCTTACTGACATGACAGCCAGAAGGGAATTCCGTACCATGCATACAACCATAGTGAAGATGACAAGCAGCCCATGTCATTTCCCCTCACTGAATATAAAAATAGAATTTTGCAGTCCAATTACAAAGAGTAAACAAATCACCTTTCATCACAATTGCATTGACATAAAAAGAGTCTCTTACCTTAGGCATTTGTGGATGACTCATATCTTTGTCAACAATAACACCCTTGACTAAAACTGTATCTTCCAGTTTACCACCTACTTTGCCATCAACTTTAATTAATTCAAAATTTATATCTTTCCTATCCAAATCAGCAACAGAAAGAACAGCTTCAACTGCAATTTCAGCCATTTGCCTGTGACACTTGTTAATACTGAAGAGGAAAATAAAAAAAATAAAAATAAGACAACTTTTACAGAAAAATGTTCAAACAAAACTGAATGCAATAAACAAACTGAAAAGGGATAATTTAAATTCCAATCTTTGTAGAATTATCTAAATGAATTCCATCAATATGGATCATATAAGTTACTAAAATCATAAAAATGTCCTGAAAGAACTTAACATCCAATGTCTCTTTCCAGTACAAACTTAAGAGAAAACTCAAGTGAGAGAAAAAGCACTACAAAGAGTTAATTTTGCATGGAATCTGATCCTTACAGACATGTGACATTCAGAAGGGAATTCCGTACCATGCGAAACAAGTTTAAAAAGACAAGAAAATAAACACAGCCATATATATTTCATGAAATATCTGTTTGATGCATTCACAAATGCATTTCACTATCATAATCTTCAACTGAAAACCATTCACCCATCTTACTAGACCCCCCCCCCCAAACACACACCTTGGGTTAATATTTGGTGAACAACTTTTAAACAACAAACATTTCTTTCTCGCAGAATATGCAAGCAGGGGTGCCAATGCAATTTGCACAAAATGCTGTCTTTCAGGATAGGGGTTCCAGGCCCTTCAACATCATACCCCTTGTTCACAGTGACCTAGCCAGTACGGATCAGATAGACTTGTGTGCCATCTGTCATCTACAATTGTTCTCATCTAACATTGTGACTCCCCTGGCATTTTATAGTCCAAGCATGAACAACATTCAAGAAAAAAAAAAAAAAAAAAAAAAAAAATCCTATCTTTTAGAATTACCTGAATGACTGAATAAGAAAATAGAAATGTTGTAAAATGTTCTAAAAGAATTTAGGATCCAATGTCTCTTTTTAGCACAAACTTAAGAGAAACTCAAGTGATGAAAAAAGTACCAGAAAGAGTTAATCTTGCATGGAATCTGATCCTTACAGACATGTGACATTCAGAAGGGAATTCCGTACCATGCCAAATACAACCATTGATTGATTAAAAAAAAAAGGGGGGGGGCACATATTTGTTTTAAGATAACTGAATTGTAACACTGACAAAATTTGAATATCAGACCACTCCCCACCCCAAAGCCATCCCAAGGATGAGAAGAACTAAGAATAGGACAGAGAGGAAGGGGGAGAAAAAAAAAGAAAAAAAAAAAAAAGAAGTGGGGGTGCAATATAAATGAAAAATTAATCTCATAAGCAAAAGCTATTTGGGAAGCGGAAATTAGAAAGAAATTCAACACAGTATTGTTGTAACGAGTGACAAAATACAGTTGTAAATGCAAAATTGTTATGACACATTAAATATTTTGATTTATTTCATTGGAACAATTTGTTGCTTATAATACTTTTGCATTCTTCAGCCTCTATGTGTTACATTAAGTAAACCAATATTATAACATCTTAATTTCTTGTTCTTTCAAGAGTTTGAATCGAGGATGTTACTTATCAAAGCAACTGTCCTTCAGATACAATGGTTATTCTGTTAATATTAAGAATTCACATACAAATGAAATAAGGTCCAACAAAGGGCCAAGTTTAGAGATTGAACAGAAATATACAATTTCTGATCAAAACATATCAGGACTGGTGCTATAAAAAGAAAAACTACAACACATTAATTCAGCATTTAATCTCCTTTGAAGGAGTACCCTTCTGAAGACATACACTTTATCCAGAGTTGTTTCCATTGATGGAAATATTCTTGGAACTCATTTTTGGCATAGTGAGCAGCTGCTGCTTAACATTTTCTTGATATCTGGAAATCTTGTTCCTTTCAAGTGGGATATGATTTTTCGAAAGAGGAAAAGTCGCAAGAGGCAACATCTCAGGAATATGGTGGTTGACAGCAGGGTCCTCACATTCCTTCAACTTATTTGTGCTTTTTTTCGATCTTTAAGAGGTGGTGGTGGAGGTTTCTTCCACTATGAAGACCGTGCCTTGGATTGGGGTCGGGGGAGTCATAGCCATACATCCACAATTCGTCACCTGCTATGACAGTTTTCAAAAAGTTCTTCCTCGACACAATCAAGATCTTGAATAGCTGAAACCAAATTTTCTTTTTGGTCAACTAAAAGCAGTTTTAGCAAAAACTCCAGACACATGTGTCATATACAAATCTCCAATGAGAATGGTCTGAATGGAACTGTAACTAATGTTCACATTCTTAGACACCTCATGCACTGTGATTCAAAAGGGCTTTATGCACATCCGCAATGTTTTATTTAGTTATGCTGGTTGTGGGTCCCCCAGAAGCAGAGTTATTGTCAACATTTTGTTGGCCATCCTGGAAACATTTGAACCACTCATACACAGCTCATATATTCTGCAACTTTGCATATGTGTTTATCAAGGTACCACCAAGATTTTGGAAAAATTTGATCCAAATTATCTGCTCAATTTTCTTTGCCAAGTCCACTGGAAAGGTTACATACATGGAGAAACAGAAAATGTTTAATTAAGATTAAAGTAAATTATCTGCTTATAATCAAAGAAACACACAAGCATTCAAAATAGATCAGAAATAAAATCCATAATCAAATCATTTCAGGTGAAACACGGATAGAAACATCATCTCTATTGGCTGCTTTTGTGTAAAAATACAAGTAAATAATTTCTGTATCAAAGAAACTTAAGCAGGATCTTGAAAAGCAAGTGAGACATGCCTTTTCTTCAGCTTAGGTGAATTCTGTTTTGTTGTCATCTACGTTTATGAATGTGCAATATGTTCAAACATTTTCAGCAGATAGTACCAAATCTTTCATACACAATGCATGACAATTCTAGGAATGACTGCATTCACCTTTGTCCTTTCAAATCTTTATTTTGAAAAGAGCCACAAATTACATGAGGGGAGTGGTGGGATAGGTACTCAAAGTCTGGCAAATAAGGTCGATGGATTATTTTTGTGATAAATTTCTTAGCTAGGAACTCATGAACCCTTAAAGCAACAATGCACAGGAGTTGTGTCAGTCCAGACTTAGTGTTCTCCCTACAAAGAGATTTTCAAAGTCCTTTCCACACTTCTTAAAGAAAAAAAAATTGATTGACAGTCAGTGTGCTAAGAATTTATAGTAATATCTTCTAATCAAAGAAATACACAAGCAAATGATCTTGAACTGAGAGATATGCTTGCCTTTTACACCCAAGCTCAATTCTATTTTCCATTGAAGGTTTGTACTCTATCCACATTTGAAAATGTTTGTGCTTTTTGGCTGCCCATTTCTTGCATTGCAAATGTACATCTCTCCTTTTCATGAACATGCTACATTTAAAAAAAAACAAAAAAAAACACAATCCTTCATAGCACGCTCACCATAATTTAATAAAGCTACAGTTTCACTCGCACTTTTACTAATCTTCACACAAAACCTGATGTTAATCTGCTGCTTCAGATTAATTGCATTCATTTTTTGCCAACAGTATAACATGAACATATGCAACCTACTCTACTGCTTAGCAATAAAGGGCTCATCAGGTCTGTATTTCAAGAAAGCAGAAGTTAGAACATGTCTAGAATACTCCAGTAATATGCTGCACTCATTCTGGGAATTAAATTATCAAACCGTGTGTATATACATTTTATTCCCCCATACATACATACATTCCCATGAAAAAGTCTACTTTATATGTTAGCCACAGTAAGAGATTAACAATAAGTAATAAAATGGAACAATAACAATTTATGGTAAGTGAAGCAATGTACCAGATAAAATCTATGTTGTTACTGTAGATTTTAGCAACCCCAGCATAAAATTATTTCTTCTTTTCTTATTAAGTTGAGAATATTTACCTTTTCACTTAATGAAGCACTTTTACAAATTTTCTTTGGCATATTTGAAATACCAGTATCACACCTCTTGCACTTGGGGGCCATTAAGTGAAACTTATTTCTGGGGTATGACTGTGATAACTGAGCTTACAAGATAAATGAAGGTAATTATTTTATAAATAATTTGCAGTCCAAATAAATTACATAAACTGGCAAACACTATGTATCTAGTGAAATGGGATAGAAACTATACATTCTTGCAATTTTACTTAAATTACTTTAAGAAGCTAATATTTCAATCTCAGAGGAATATCAGAGAAAAAGGAGTAATAAAACTCAGCAGAAAATTTACTTTTCAGCTGAACAAAATCATTCTTTTGGAAATAACAATAATAATAAAAAAAAAAAACTAAAAAAAAACTGGGCCCTGTAAGTGTTAAGAAATTTATGTTTTATTATTATTATTATTATATAAATAGAATAAAGACTAAAAAGTCACTAAAAATTGAAATGCAGTCAAAATAGATCAGAAATAAAATCCATAATCAAATTATTTCAGGTGAAACACGGATAGAAGCATCATCTCTTTTGACTGCTCATGTAGAAATATTTTTTTTTTTTAACATATATTTACTTTAATGTTCTCAGACACTTCATTAAGTAAATAAAAGCATCCACAGTCATATTCATACATACCATATACTATTAATTGGGTATCGCCACTAATTCAGTATACATAAGGTTTAAAATAAGTTTTTAAAAGTGAAAAAGCTTTCTTGAAGATTTCATTTTAGCTTTAATTGAAAGCAAAAAGGTTTAAAAATTATTTTTTTCCAGTAAGTAAAATACTCTATGGTATATTTCAAACAGAAATTATATTGATCAGAATAGACTTTTTTTTTCTATTTATTAAAAATCAGTCATTTTTAACAGATTTGTAAACAAGTTAATTTCTCAGTTTTAAAAATCTTGCAAAAATAAAATATATTTCTGTAATGTTATTTGAGAAAATTAGCAATTTTAAAGTTAAATTAATCTGATTTGAAACAAATATTACTTATAGCAGAAAATGTTGCATACAAACATTCCTTAATCACAGGGTCTTGTTTTTTTGACATGTTAATCTATTTACATTCAATTGACAGCCGAATGTATACATAGTTAAGTATGGTGAAGCAGATGATTAGGTGTTTTTTTCTTGCCATAATTGGGACAGACAACCCTTAAAACACGTGGCCTTTAAATGCTAGATTTGTACATCCATACTTCAGAAATTCTGCATGTAATCACATACAAAAACAAATCAAAGTACTTTTAAAAAATATTCAGGGTTGTCAGTTTATAAATTTTACATTATATGATAAGTAAATATAGTTTTTACTTAATAGCAATATTTCCTGAGAATTATTTCATTGAAAATGAATCTTTAAAGATGTAAAAAATTTCTAAATTATTCAATAAAAAAATTTTTTTTTTTCTTTTTTAGGCAATATTCTCTTTAGTGTTTTTTATTTTTGATTCAGGACAGATATTCGGTAAGGCCAGGTCCAATTTTGTGAAAAAAAAAAAAAAAAAAAAAAAAAAAAAAAAATCAGTGATTAAAATCATTCAAAAGAATTGTTTTTAACTAATATAGTCACTAAAAATTATCTTGTTGAATTTCTCAAATTTTCATAACATTAGGTAAGGGGCTGAAACACGTTACAAAAAAAATTTACTGAGATTTTCTAATAATAATAAATTTCAAAAATAATTCCATTCATTTGTGAATAAATCCTAAAAATTTAATTAAACTGACAATTATTTGATTTTTGCAAGAATTTCCAAATTAATGTGTATCATCACAAGAAAGGCTAAAATTTATTATGCTAAAAGTTAGTACAAGCATGGACGCAAGAAAACAAGTTTTAAAAAAAAATTTTGAATGTCCTAAAAAGGAGTAAAAAATTTAAATAATCAAGAATACTTTGATCCTTCCTCCTAATAATAGTGATTTTGATGATAAAACCGTTTTCGTTATGTTTGAAGCATGTTTTCATCACAGTATGCAGAGTTTTTATCATTTGAAAAAGTCATGATTTATACATGCTAAAAATAGGAAAATGTTACTTTGAATAGATCAACATAAGAGATATAACGAGACAAAATTTTAAACTATTTGTATAAAACCATTTCAAAGTATGTAACAAATGTGTGTGTGTATATATATATATATATATATATATATATATATAATATAAAAAAAAACACCAAAACTTTCTATGATAAAAACATGCAGAGCAAATAAGTCAGAAATTAATTTCCGAGCCACAAACAAGTATAAATATATACACACACTCTGCATCAATGTTTACGCCTAAAATAACATTCAAAAACAGGATCATCTTCCAAATTTAAGATGTGGTGGAGAAAGAAAAATAGAAAAAAACTGAAAAGTGTTCCAGTCAATATTAAGTGACATAAAATAGTAAATCAGTGCAACAAAAGAAAATACTGTCTGGATTTGATTTTGCATGGAATCTGATCCTTACAGACAAAATTTTCCAAAGGGAATTCCGTACCATGCATGCCTAATGTATTAAGACAACAAATAATAATAAAAAAACATTAGAATAAAAAATAAAAAGATGAAAGTGGCAAATTAAGCTATTTACATCTTTCCTTATGCAATCCTAAGTTTCCATCCACTTTCATGTTATCTCAAATAGGAAAAATGATCTTACATTTTAGAACCTAGAGTTGTCATGGCTAACTGGATTAAATGTTCTTTGTTAGTCACTCCACATTCAAAGACTTCAGAGATCTCATCTAAATGGTCAACAGCAATTTTTGCAGCCATCTCATATCCATCTGCAACACGGATTGGATGGATGCCTTTGTCCAAAAGCTTCTCAGCATGTTCCAAAAGAGATCCAGCCAACACTAAAATGGAAAAAGTTACACTGATATGATCATGCATTACCTTTACAGAATTTTTCTTCTTTAAATTACACAGGACAATGTATCTGAGGGTACTAAAAAATACCATGCCCAACCAAGTACTAAACTCTATAAGATGCAACCCAGTCCAAAGACAAGATTCTTTTGAAACCATATCACCAGGCAACTAGAATGGCAGACCCATATCAATATATAGCAGGAGTTATTTATGTCTCACACTTCATTGTTGTCATTTATATATAGTCTTTAATGTGCTGAAAAGATCTGTTTTTAATGGCCTTTGGTCAGGTTAACTTTCCAGCACTGCCTTGCAATTAAAAATAAGTCTTAAAAATACAATACAATATATTTTCCCAAAGAGGCCGTGTAATACAAGGTTATTCAATATTTGCTGCAACGACTTACCAACAACTCCTGTTGTGCCATCCCCAATTTCATCGTCTTGAGATTTGGAAAGCTGGACTAACAGTTTTGCAATTTGGTGTTTCACATCCATCATACCAAGAATTGTAGCTCCATCATTGGTCACCGTTACCTCTCCATCAGAACTCACCAACATTTTGTCAAGGCCCTTGGGGCCAAGAGATGTTCTCAAAATATCAGATACAGACTTGGCAGCCAAAATATGAGACTGAAGATGAAAAGATTTGGGAGAAAATTAGTATTCTCTATATAGACAATAAGATGTTACAGGTTTAAAGTTCAAAAAAGCCATTTTGTATCAAATTTTAGAAAACCATTTTAACAAAGTTACACAAGATGGGCAATACCTTAAACATTCATGGATATTAACTTAAAAAACAACAACAAACAAACAATAAATCCCATTTTTATAGTATTTCAAATCAACCAGCTCATGTTAATTTTGAATTCTATTTCTATTAGCTTTAAAATGAACAGAGTCACTTGTACCAAACAATCTTTTGCATTCATGAAAGGTCCCTAGAAGATAGAACTATTAAATACAAATTAATTTTTACAGAGGGAAACATTTGAAGTTGTATCAAATATGAAAGTTTTTTTTTGTTATTCTTTTATTAGTGGGGAATTATAATTGTACATGCTTTAGAAAGGTAAGAGAAGTCAACAATAGAACTTAACCTATATGATGAAAGCAGGCTTGCATCAGTCAAAAGGCTTCTGACAATTGTTTTCAATATGAAGTTTGGTAATAACCTTTTTTTTTGTTGTTTTTTTAAAGAAAACACTTTTGAGAAGTCTAGCTTTGGATAGAAGCCACTTAAAAATTATCCCTTACCATCTTAAATCAGAAAATTATATCAAAAGTCATATAAATTTAAGTCTTAAGTTGATTATTTTGTGTTTTATTAAATCTAACCATTGTTGAAAAGATTGATGCCTGAATAGTTAAGAGTGTGTTATGAATAAAAATTTTATCAAGTGTTTTCAAAACTCAAAACTATCAAAATAAATGCATCCTACATACTGACAGTTTAATTCTAAAGGATATATATATATATATATATATATATATATATATATATATATATATATATATATATAAATATAAATAAAACAAATAGCCCACATCCTCCAAGCCATCTTTGGTACAAAAATTCATGCCAATGTTAAAAAAAAAAAAAAAAAAAAAAAAAAAATAATCTGATATGCAATATCATAATTCAACTATTTCTTACAAAAATAAAAATGTCCAAAAGAATTGCAAGATTGGATATTTCCGATTGATAATTTCAAAGTAGTGAGGAGAAAAAAAAAAAAAAATTTCATTTTGCCTAAGGAACATTTTTAAAAAGCTGGATGAGAATTTGATGTAATGATAAATATTTAAGGCAATTCAGGAAATTTCTGCTTTGACATTGTTTGCTAATGATATTGGCTCATTGTTAAAACAAGTAGAAATTTTCCAAATTGCCTTATATAGTTAACATTTCTTTAGATGGAATGGAAATAATTCTTGGCTGGTTTCATTTTGACATTTGAATTTTTTGCCTCATGTAATTTTCCACCCTAATTTGTATTATTGCTCAAAACAAGTTCTGCATAATACAGAATTACCTTCTGTGGGTTCTGAACAGTTATTAAAAAAAATGAATAAGTGTTTAACATGCAGAAGTCATTTGAAATGTTAAAACCAACTATATTTTTGAATAAATCAAAAGGCAATAAAAAGATTTCATGTTAGACTATTTCATTGCTTATGCAACACAGAAAAGATTAATCTTAGTTTTAAATGAAAATCAAAACATTGGGTAAATTTTCAGTTAAACTATCAAGTCATCCTATAAGTTCTGTCCGAATTTTGAATAAAGAAAACAAGTGACCAAATGCTACATTTAATTACAGATTCAATCAATAATGTATTTTCCCTGATTATCTATGACTTCCTTCCATCTATTAACAAGCTTACTAATTCCATTACTGTAAAATTCTTTTGGCTTTGATTCGAAGAACTCACAAGTGTCAGTTTTAACCTCTTCCTATGTTACAAAAGCTGTTTCTTCCAAATGATTCTGTAAGCTACGAAACAAATGGTAGGCTGAAGGAGCAAAATTGGGAGAATAAGGTGGATGAGGAATTTTCTCCCAACCAAGTTCTTCGATCTTTTGTGACGTGATTCTTGCTGTGTGGGGTCGCGCATTGTCCTGATGAAATATCACCCCTTTTCGATTCACTAAAGCAGGTCTTTTTTCCCCTCAAAGCTTGGTTCAAACACTAATTGCCGACAGTATATTTGAGCATTAATTGTTGCATTAGGTGGTAAAAATTCAAAGTGGATTATTCCTTGGTGATCCCACCAGATTGAAAGAAGAACCTTTTGCCCATGAAGTTCCCTTCTCGGCTGTGGCTGGGGTCCTTCACCAAGCCACTGTCTACGACACTTAACATTTTGATAAAAGATCCATTTTTCGTCACAAGTCTATCTAAAAAAAGGTGAAACAAGTTGGCGAGAATGGAGAGAAGAGCAGATGTCAACTCGGGATTTGAGGTCGTTTTCAGACAATTCATGAGGCACCCATTTTCCAAGTTGTTGAAGATGATGATGAACAATTGTATGGTTTGAACTGAGAACCGCTGCCAATTCCTCAACTGATAAAGCAGGATTAGCTTCAAGGGCTGCTTCAAGAAGCTTTTTATCAAACTCAACTGGACGTCTGGTTCAATTTTCATCTTCATGGGTGAAATCTCCACCTCTAAATTTTGCAAACCATCTTCTGCAAGTTCTTTCATTCACACATTCCTCTCCATAAACTGAGTGAATGTTTCTAGCCGCTTCGGCTGCCGAGTTTCCTTTCTTGAACTCATAAAGCATTATGTGCCTCAAATGATTCTTGGGTACTTCCATATTAGCAGGGTTTTAATCAAACAAAAGTTAATTTTATTGTTCTCTGAAATAAAATTTGATCAGTTTAAATGCATCTAAATATAATAATAAAGTTCAGCTACATTAGACATTATAACATATTTCGTTCATTTTAACAAATAGTTAAAATTCGCACAGAACTTATGGGATGACCTGATACATTTTTCTTTTATTCTCCCCACCCCGTGTAATGCATTCAGTTCTTTATGAAAGTGAACTTGTGTTTTTTTTTTTTTTAAGGAGTATTCATTTTCTTGAAAATGATAGTTGAAGTGAAAGCAAAGTCTCTCTAAAATGGGAGTTCCATTTACAATGTACACATGTCAAAATGGATTATGACATGAAATATTCAAGTTATGATATAACCATACTGCTTAAGTGGATCCAGAGTTTGTGTCAGCCTTTATGCAAAGTATGGAAGCTCTAACAGAAAGTTTATCTTATGCTGTCAATGGCCTCGGAATACAGGGTTGGGACTTTTGAAATGTGGCTAAATTAAAAGCTGTGTGAATGTTAAATTTTGAGCATTGATGGATGCTCAAATTTAAAATTCAACAACAATAATATTTTGATGCCAAAAGTGTGTTATTCATGTTATTTATTCTCAGTACCTCCACACAGGGTCGGCGAAAAAGCATTATCTCCCTTAGTTGACATCTCATTCTTTCCACCTTTGCATTTTTTGCCAGTTTCAAATTATTAATTAAACTTTAAATCAGCTAATCTTCCAAGTTTCAGAATGAAAAATAAAATTTACTCGAGATTTAATAAAGAGAATTACATTGTACTGAGAGATTTGTAAATATGGCTAAAAACAAGAAAGATTTTTCATTTAAAATGCATTTTAAACCTTAGGTATCATTTTTCTTTGCAGGTACCTGCATAAATTTAGTAGAATGAATAATTCTTTTGTTTTTTTTTTATACAGGCCTATACTAGAAGTAGTTGTTTTATTTTAGTAAAAAAAGATCTGAGTTTAATTCATAACTTATTCTTTGATTATTTCATGCCATAAAAATATAATCACACCTAATGAAATTTGAAAAAAAAGAAACAAAAAAAACAAAAGCGGAATTTAAGAAAATTTATTAAAATGGAGTTGCTACTAAAAAAAAAAAAAAAAAAAAAATACAAATTGGAGGAATGCTAGAATTATTGAAGTATGTCGAGATATTAATTATTCATGACAATTAATTTTGTAATTTATGAAAAAAAAAAAAAAAAGTTCTCCCCACCCCTAAAATTTTATTTAATTATTTTTGGTAAGATTAGGGGACGAATTTTCAATATGCTCATACTTTATATTGCATAAATTTTTTTTGACTGAATCTTGAGTTCCTTCCGATGAAGGTTTAAAAAAAAAAAATTACGAACACCTAAATTAAGTACAGACAAGACATCGGAGGGGGGGGGGGGGTCAGGTTCCCCAAAATAATATTTCCACAAAATTTTCTAGTAAAATAACCTACTCGGCACAATTCATTCATTAATGAGCAAGTACTAAAAAATTGGTTTGAATCGGATAATTCCGATTTTTGGCAGAATAGGAGGTAGCGATTTTTGCTTTTATCTCGAGAAAAATGAATTCATTCGTGGTACCGAAATACTAGTTTTGTTTGAGTGTTTTTAGTCAAACAAGCTGGTGGTAACTTATAACATAGAAATAAAACATTTTGTTGTTAAAATTAAAACTGATTTGGTTGAATGTTAATTGCTAAGCTTTAGCATCCGCCAATACCTGGAAGTGAAATGTATCATCATCAGTGACATAGTATAACGAGTTTTCGAAGCACTATGAATTGTTCTTAATCGTCTTGTGTTTTTTGCTTCTAGGCTTTTGTACTTAAAAATATTGGACGTTATAAATTAAAATTATTCCAGTATTTTCTTAAAAATGAGGAGAAAAAAAAAGAAAAAAAAAGCGGACACAAAGTGAGGGTCCAGTTTTTATAAGAATAATTTATATTCTGAATTGAATCCCACTTTCCAAACTTTTATTCATTCATTTTCGGAATAAATTAAAGTTGTATTCATTCAAAGTACACAATATACAATATTTTTGACAATTTAATTTAATCGAATTTTTATGAAACATTCATTTGAAGAGTGAAGAGTCATTTTTTCTTAAAGAACAATTTTCCTACCGTGTTGCTGGTTAAATGGAATTTCTAAAATACAAAGGATAAATCAAACTAATTTTAATTCCATATTCGATCATCAAAACCGAAGAAAATTTACCGAAAATATAGGGGGGGGGGTAAATTTGAATGTTTTTTTTTTTTAATCCCTCGTGCGATTGAACTAAGGAGAAAAAAAAAGTGATACAATTAATTACTTAATTTAACAAATCAAAGAAGCACTAATGAAAGATAAAATATACATTTAAATCGTGTCAACACACATGACGATGACAAATAATAAAGAATTAAATCCCAAGTAGCTTAAATGATCATTTAAGGTACTTAGGATTTTTAAGTTAAATGGAAAGTGCTAGAAAACTCATTCAGCGTACAAGGCGATTTTATCCATGCTTTATTCTTAAAACGGTGATTTCAAGCATTATTGTTTTTCTTCAAATAATATAACTGATAATGTATGACATTCTTAAAAGAAGAGGATAGGCGATTTCGTCTTCAACTTAAAAAAAAAAAAAAAAATGAAACTATATGAAACCAACGTGAGCCAATAATGGTAATTCTCACCCTATGTGCTTCTATGCCGGTAAGACGAGTCTTTGTATCTTGATCTTTGATGATGATAAATGGTCTTCCATATTCATCGAAGGCTAATGACCCTGTTGCAGTCATGACTGATCAGATGGTGATCGGGATGCTGCAAGATTTTAAAGCGATTACTTCAATGACACGACTGAACGTCTTCTTTCGATGAATTAGCACATTTACCGAATATGGCTGCTCTAGGTCTCGTTTCGTTCGAGATCTCGCGAATTCTCGTTATCATAAACAAAGCATCCCTAGCAACCGAAGTGGGCAAAGGTATTATTATAAATAAATCAATTAATCACATTTTTTTTCGCATTTTCGTTTTAGAAATAACATTTGGTTTTAGAAAGCAGAAAAAACAGCAATCTCTTTAAAACTTCTGAAAAAAACTTAAAAGGGAATAATGGCATTCTTTGCGCTAACTTATTTAGGAACGCAAAATTATCTCAAAGATGTTTCTGTTAATTCTCAGAAAGATCCTTTACGCTCTGGACGAGAGCTTGGGTTTTTAGCCCTACCACCGTTGCCCACGAAATATAAGGAGACGTGCACGGCCCACTTTTCAAGGAAAATGGACTTTTCCTACGGCCGAGGACACCAAAATTCATTTGCAGAAATGAAAAGACTAGCAACCAAACACATAAGATGCCCTGAAGGTATGAAACAATCAAAGATTTAATTTTCCCTTTTTTCACGTGTATATAAGAATAAAACAAATAAAGTGTTCTAGAACCAGAATTTTTTTTCATAATTACTAAGTAACTATATAGAATTCAATAATTTTATGCATTAGTCATCCAAGGATTTAGAGAGGAGATGGGCGCCGCCAAGTTCTACAAGCCCACTTAAAAAAGGATTATGAAGCAAGAGAAGCAAAATAGACCGTTGTGGAGGAGCGTATCCTCCCACGATTACAAAAGTCAAGGGGATGATGATGATGATGATGATGATGATGAAATCACGCATATAAAAAAAATTAAATTTTATAAAAGTTGATTGAGGTACAAGTTTTGCCATGTGGAAATAAATTCCTTTTTAAAAATTGATTCCCTACGGAAGCCAAAACAAATATGCTGGTACGACGTGATTTCATAAAATTAAAATTAAAATATTGAAAGTCGTAATCTGTGGAATGTACGCTGTGGTGTAGGTACGACCACGGACTTTCTAAAAATACCCGAAAACGCATTTTAAAAATATTTTGAATGCCTTTTGAACTTAAATTTCGATTATATTCGAAAGATAATGGCCTAAAAAGGCTAATCCGAATTAAAAGAAAAATAATTTCCGTATATAAATAAACTTTTTTTTTAGGCATTTTTAAAACATTCATACTGTTTTTTTTCGTCACTTACCGAGCCGCCATTGTGAATGTAAACAACAAATTTAAAATTCTCTTTAAAATCCAATATCTGTACTAGAGATGCGTTTCAAAATCTTGTTAGTAAATTTAAGAATTAATTAACTCGATTTTCTAAAAAGTAATACTTACTTTTTACTTAAAACAAAATGAAAATAACGTTTTATTTACGTACGGTAGCCAGTGAGTTCAGAGGACAAAATAGAAACACTGTCATTCTACCCCTGTCCGAAAAAGCGCGGGAAAAAGGAAAAATAAAACCTAAAGAAATACGGAAGACTAGTAGTGCAATGATCAAGAATTTGTTATTTATGTTTAAAATTTTTTTAATCTTATATAACCAATAATTTGAGAATATAAATTATTAAACTTAGTGCAATGAATAAATTTGAAAGCATTAGGATGCTACCGAAACAATAGTATAGCATGAATGTCATTTGCGTTAAATTAATCTGAAAGGAAAAACATTTATTCTAAGAGTAAATTTTTGAAAAATTACAGTAAAGTTTTATTTTTTATACGAATGAAATAGTTTTGTTGTAGTACAGAGAATTTTCTTGGTGGCTAGGGGAACAAATTATACAGGAAAAATAAGTCAAAGATTGTGTTTTTAAGATAATAAAAACTTAAAATATCAACTTATGTTTAATTACTGAAGTAAGAATAGTTTTTTTCTTGTATATTTTAAATAATAGTTTCAGACTATTATTTTTTAGTGGTAGTGTATTTGGCTCGGACCTTCTGATGCTGACCTTGAGGTCAGCTGGTAGACAAAATAGGGATCTCAATTTTGATTGGCTTAGCTGAACGTGGGAATGTTAGAGTGTTTTCAGAGAGTAAGTTTTTATAAGTCAAAGAGATCAGACATGGTTATTTCGTGTCTCCAGGAACTTGCTCCCCAGTGGGGCTGATAGACTGACCCCACTGGCTAGTTAGAAATATACATGTTTTCCATTAATAAAATAGATAAGTTTAAAAATCACTTTTGTTGAAGTTCTTATTTTAATTCCAAACAAAAAAAACAGCTAGTAATCACACAGCTAAGAGAAGAAAGAAAAGAGAGAGAAGACTGCAACATATGAGTGAATCAAGACCGTCGACCCAAGACTACCCCCAGCATGAGAGGGCTATACAACATATACGAGAATCTGTAAATAAATGCAGGAAAACAGAGACATGCAAAATAAAAAAAAAAACAGAAACCCATACCAATGTGTTTTGAAGACACAAAAACTAACTGAACAGGAGATATGAAATTAGATTAATATCATAATACTCCTTCAATACTGAAATACAGTCAAAGTGGGATATAAGATTTATATCCTTTTTGTACATCCATAGCAAAAAATAATCTAACATTAGCTAAAAGGAAAAATAAAATAAATTTATTTTTTAAAATAGGTTCCTACTTGAAAATGGCTTTAAACATTACATTTTTTTAATCTTTAAATATATAATTATATTGCTTAATCTATAGTAATAGAGAAAAAAATGATTATTTCTAGCCACAGTGCCTATTGTAGGATTTTTATTCAGGATTTCGTTTGATCAGCTTAGTGGTGAGATAGATGATATTTAGGAGAACTTCTGCTATACCAGCTCTTTCACTGACCAACTCCTCACTTATCTCACTGCTCCTGACATGGTGGATGGCTATATGAAATGAAGGCTTCAGAACTGCTCAATAAATACATCCGTCTCCTGCCAAGGGCTGACCAGAACTCTTACCCAAGCATAACTGTTAATATAAACCAGCACCTGGATATACTCTATTTCTGGTTTTGTTGCCACTTGATTTCCAAAAAACCCTCATCCACTCCTTTACCCCTTGTTTCCCTTTGTTCAACGTGGATGCCGCTTAAAAGACTGAACCTAAAAAGGAACCATCTGTTGTTCTATCAAACAGCAACACCTGAGATTGAGTTAAAACCACGTCTTCAAATTCTATGTGGGTGTTCATTATATCGCAGCAGGATCCGCGACTTCTGGATTAATATTTTCAGTTACCTCTTTTTTCAGTCTTCTTTCATTGTCTTGACTTTAATCTCTTCATATATGACAGTGAGTCAGATCCTTTTATGGTAATATAGATGTGTTTTATTTCAGGACCTCTTGAGTTATATCAACGTCCTGTGACAACTTCCCATATGTATGGCTGGCATCACAAATCACAATATCCAATCACTCAGAGTGAGCCCTGGACATATGTCAAGAGGCATCCCATAAAAGAAAATGAAGTGACTAAGTATGTAATATTTTTTTACAAGACCTTATATTCTGTATATTTATATTTGACTAGCAGTAGAGCCCGGCATTGCCCAGGGATGTAACAGTAAAAGATAGATCAAGTTTCGACCATCATAAAGACTGAAAAATAAAATTGACAAAGATTATTGTTTAAGGTTGAAAGAGACGCATGTCTTAATTATTTTTTTGTTTTTTTTTACGAATTGGTCAAACCCAAACTCAAACAAAAACATTGTTTTCAATTGTTATGAGTCTATTGATTGGATAGAATTTTATTATAAACAATTGTCTTGTAAATGGAATTTTTAAAGCATTCTGAATGTAAAAATAAAGAAAACAGTGTGCAAGACAATAAGAAACACTACCTGCCAAAAAAAGTGAAGTTTTGTTGAAATCGGTTGAAAAATGTAGGAAATCCGATCCCATATATAAATGAACACACACACACACACACACACATAATTAACCTGGGTTTTATAAGTATAACTTGATATGAGTTGTCCTCCTTTCATTCTGGCAACAGAATCGTGATTTGAAATTGATTTCGTGCAAAAACAATTGTGTTTTTCCAATTTTTGGTGCTGTCAGAACCACCGCAAGGTAATTTTACGCAATCCTGTGAAATTTTGTTGAAATCGGTTGAAAAATGTAGGAAATCTGATCCAATATATAAACGTACAGACACACACACACACAATCTGCGTTTTATAATTTACTTTGATAAAATCCATCAGAAAATGAAACCTGTTGGCTAAGATAAGTTTTCTTTTTGTCATTATTCATATTATAATTTTACTGATATATTTTTAGTTATATCGCAAATTTTACACACACACACACACACACACACACACATAAACACTGAGATCAACAACGATTGGCGACAGTCTGTTTTATTCTTGAATTCAATTTTCCTAAAGATTGTTTTCAAGCATAAACAGACTGTTGACAGTTGGTGTTGACCTCAGTGTTCATTTTTATATTTCCACATGCTCTATCCCTGATGTTGAGCACTTTTACCCATAAAGATCCCATACATTCAAATGATATTTATATATATATATTTGTGTATTTAGGCAGCAATCCTTCTTTCATGCACATTCCATTAAAAGTGACAGACAAGGTGCTTTTATTTAGTTTTTTATACAATTTCTCATGCGATCTAATAATTTTTTTCTTTTCGGATGATAAATTATATAAAAACTGTCCAAATGTTCTTTTTATCCAAACGCATTCAGCTATACATTTAGCCATTTTCAAGGATTATATTTTAACTGTTATTTCTTTCTTGTTTTCAGCCAAAATAAAAATATCGTCAACATAACGAACATATATTTCAGGCTTAATAACTTTAGTAAAAACTTTGTTTTCAACATAGGATATATAATTGGAGAAGCACGGCCCGAGAGGGTTTTTTCCATACTCCATCAGTTTGTGTGTAAATAGTAACATTCTGGCTATATATATATATATATATATATATATATAATAAAGGTAACAAATCCATTGGTATATAATCCAAGTGGATCCTAGCAATATAAAATATTAAAACTGATCCATAAAAAGAGCTCAATGTATTTATTATTACAGAGCAAATGATTAATAGTCAATAAAATCCAAAATCACCTCATATGCAGAATAAGCTTATTTCAACTGATGAATAAATAATAAAATTCGTCAGTCTTATTCAACCCCGTATAGACTGAGTTTGTGTCAGAATTTGAAATATATATATATAGTGTGTTTGTTTGGGCAGTAACCTTTCTTTTATACACGTTTCATCTGACAGACAAGCAAAATTTTATAAATTTTTTAAAAAGTTTTTCTAATGGTCTTACAATTTTCTGTCTTGGTGGACTAAGAGACTGTAGAAATTCTCTGTAATGATTATAGTCCCAAGCGTTCAAGGCATTTGTTGTTAATGTTTTCCCATGTTTATGCTCTAAATTGTATTGTGTGGGAGTAGTAGAAATTCTAAACTGTATGAAAAGAGATGTGGTTATGATTCCAAATTGAGTGTTTCTTTTTTAAAAGACACACAACACATTACTATCATTGTCAAATAAGGATAAGATTAAGGCTTGACTTAAATTGTTTTATATGAAAAGCTTCAATTATCCTAAAACATCTTTTACAATTAGATTTCTTTAGGATGTTATCTACAAGAATTTGGGGCAGACAATTGTGTGTGGGTGGTTTTTTATGACACTGCATCACTTAAGTGGTTTATCATACCTTCAGAAATATATCTAATGTAGTCATTCAGTTTATTACAAGAGACACAGGCTTGTATAATGCAGTAATATTGATACTACATTGGTGTTTTTGAGTTTAGATTTGATAGGCATGTTGTTATGGGCAATGCTGAGGTTGGAAATTTTTAATTTTCTATTGTCTATTGTGAGTTTTAAACATTTGCAGTTGTTGAGAGGTGGAATATATTGTTTCATGATGTGTCCATCGTAAAATATGGCAAAGGTGTGTTGCGGTTGGGGGAAACACCTAACTGATTGCTCTCCAAAGAACTATTGTGTGGGTAATTCAGATTGCCCATGGTTTGCAATGACTGAAATGGATTAAAGTGCTTGCTTTCCACCAACTGAGCTGTTGCTAGTGACCCCTCATTCTCTCAGTCTCGTTAGTACGTACGCCGTCACGCCAACAATGCGCTCTCCCCCGTTTTCCTCCCAGACTTGCTATTTATGCACACATCGGGGGCAACTAAAATTTACATATGAGACTTACTTCTCATTCGCCTGAGACTTCCAGTTTTATAAATTCAAGCTGGTTTGAATTCTTAGTCTTTTTTATTTCTAATTTTTTCCCCTGCACATCCGCCCACGATCTTTCAACAGGACCTGACATGCCAAGCAAATTCGCTTTACGGGCGGTAAGTCTTCTCGTTCTTCACATATTGGGTAACAGACAGAGAAGGGAAAGAGACAGGAGGAACCAAAACAACACTGTCTCAGAAACCAAAACATGGTGAGTGACACGTGTCTTGAGAAACAAAATGTGCCAAGGGAATATTTTCACAAGACACTGAGTCTTGCCAACTGCTGATTTTCTCATCACTTTTATTGACAGGAAACAGTTGATGCATGTCCGCCACATGCCTAATTCATCTTGTTTATAATTCTCGTGCTTCTGGTTGCAGTAAAAGATATTTATGTTGTGCTGTACTATAATTTTTGTCCTAGATATAACAATAAACTACATCTGGCAGCAAGAGCTCTGATCAGAAAGTTTTGAGGAGTGTGGAACCTCCTCTTAATTACTGTTGTTCCCACATCCACCCTGACCCAGGGTGGTAGCACCTGTTAGGGTCCCAGTTATGAGTATATAGTGAATCCTCAAATTGGCATTAAAACATTATGAAGTTATAAAAATACATTTTTATTGTAAAAATATTCGCAATACATTTTCATACTAAAAAAAATTACCACCAATAAACATTTTCATAGAAAAAAAATTAGCAGCAATACATTTTTAATTTCTTAGAGTGATGGATAAAATCCTATTTCTTGATTTGTTTTCATTTCCAAAATCAGCAAAGCTATATCTGCTCTTTGACAGGCAGGCATAAATCAGTTTCTTGATTCTGCCTTTGTTTTCAAAAATTACCAAAAGTTATAACATAATTGATCCCTTCTTCCATCTGGTAATCATGAGACATGTTTTCATAACTTCCACTTTAATTAAGGAGGCATAAATCAATTTCTCAATTTCTGCTTTTGTTATGTCTCCAAAATTCTCAATTAACCTTGAATGTACTTTCATTATTCTTTCTCGAACATCGTGAGTTGAAGCATTCCACATGGCCTCTGATAATATCCTTCCCAAAATCAATAAAGTCATTCTTTTCAAGTCTGTCTTTTCTTCAAGCTAGATTTTCGATAGGAAACCATTTTGTTCCTTCTTTCAGTTTATATGTTATTCTGTACTCTAGCAGAGGTGAACAAGGACTTGGAGAGTTGAGGTTCAAAGGGAGATAACTAATATTGAGATATCCAGAAGAGGCATGGCATGTGGAACTAGAACAATCTAGCCCTGTGGACGAAATAAAGGGTTTGATACAAAATTTGAATCGCCTGAAGAAGGCCAGAGTGTAAAATGGTCAAAATATTGTGAATATTGCAACAAGGATAAGGACAACAGTCCGAACAATATAAATAGTGTAAATGATTACGATACCTCATCTCAGAAACATAGACAGAAATTAACCTATTGTTTAAAAGAAATCCAGTGATGCCTGTGAATTGTGAGCCTTCTCTCTCCTTTCAGCAGTTGAATGAATCGAAGTGAACATTTTGTTGATAATAATCATAATTGTTCTTGTATTTAGAATTTGTTATCTTGCCTAACTGTTTGGTGCACAAAGGAAAATTTTGTGCAAGCTTATTTTATATTCTGTATTATTATTTTTTATATTTGTCTATATCTCTGAGATTAGATATTATGATTATTTACATTATTTACATTATTCCTCATCTTTATTGCCATATTCGCAATGTTTTGGCTTTTGTACACGCCAAAACATTGTGAATATGGCAATGAAGATGATGATAACAGTCTTAATAATGTAAATAATTTTTTGTTTTTTAATAAATGTAAATTTCTTTCAAATTTCACATCTGAGTAAGAGTCTGGGGGGGAGATGAGGTAGATTCATACATTTCCCAAAGGTATTTGCACGTAAGTGAACCCAATGGGAATTGGAACTCAGCTCTCCAATTAACAATTGTGAACCCTTATCCATTACACCACCTGAACATCCAAGCTTACAGCACCTGTTATTCCCAAGCAGTCACCCATCTAGACATTGACCAGGCTCAATGTTGCTTAACTTTGGTTATTGTGCAAGGACCAGTGTTTTAAATGATACAGCTATAAGCCCAAAGAAAAAACAGTCAGCCATATTTTTTTGTAACAAAATGTATTTGTTCTCTCTGTTAGTTATAAGCAAATAATATTAATGTGAATTTTTTTTATTTTATACAAGCATTTATTTATTTATATTATTTACATGCAGACTATTGTGCTTATTTTTGTTGTTGCTTTTGCAATGTTTCGCCTGTTGGGTCCTCCAACCTTCATCAAGTATATGTCGACCCAGATAACCTACCGGGAATTTCAAACTGAATTGGGGTTTTTATTACATTATTATACTAATATACAAGGTGCATTCCAGAAGTCTTGAAATTTTTTAAGAGAAACAGATATAACCGTCCTAGATTATTTTAATTTTAGTGTATCAATATTACTAATCTAATAAGCTGACCTGCCAACTTTTGATATTCCAGATTAAAGGAGATGACTGTAGCTTTTTGAACATACCCAAGTAAACACTGCTTGTCACAGCTGACAAGTTTACAGAATGCAGTTGGGACATGAAGACAATTTGGGAGCTCATTATGTAATAAAGTTAAATGGGGTAAAAAAATGTTATGAAAACTTATGAAATGCTCTAGATTGCTTACGAATCCACTTTTATGAGCCAAGCATCTTTTTTTTGCTGGCATAAGAGGTTCAAAGATGATAAAGAGGTGAGAGAGTGTAGAAGAGAAAGAGAAGTCAGAACATCAGAGCTGATTGGGAAAATTAACAATTTTCTAAACGAAGACCGTCATTTGTCTATGAAAACAGTAAGTATACAGTTTGAAATTGGTGTGACAATTGTATACAGAATTATTTATGAAGATCTGGACATGCGCAAAATTTGTGCAAAGTTTGTACCCAGGGTGCTCAGTGATAAACAGAAGGAAAGACACAGTGACAGCAGGGAGATGGTTAATGGGCATTAAAATTGTCTCTCATCCTCTTTACAGTCCAGACCTTGTTCCCTGTGACTTTTGGTTGTTCCCAAAGCTGAAAGAGAAACACAAGGGCAATTGTTTTGAAGACATTGAGAAGATAAATGAGGCTGTGACAAGGATCCTGGACACCTTCACTTTTGGATGACTTCCATGGGGTCTTTACTAAGTGGCTGGAGCGTTATAAAAAGTGCAATGAAATCAGAGGCTCCTATTTTGAAGGAGATTAGAGTTTTGTACTTTTTTGAAATTAATAAATGTAGAGAGGATTATTTTACATAAAAATGAAAAAACCAAATGGCCTACATGAAATGGAAATCACATTTTTGAAAAGGAAATTTTCTTATTTCTAACAATTGGATTTGCCAACTGCCATTTTTAATTGTTACCATGTTTACTTTTCCTAAATTACTCGTCCGACAGACATTAAAGAGTAAAGTCTGTAAATTTTTAGTACATCTCCCTTACCTACTGTCTCCCTATAGTTTACCGTATTTAGGAACCAAGTTTTATGAAGTTTGCTTGATTTTATTAAAACGAGGGGGAGGCAAAACAAAATTTTCATCTTTTTCTTTTGTCCTTTCTTTTTCCAGTCACACATGGTGATGGTGGTGGGGGTACAGTTTGTCTTTTCAGAAAGCCAAACTTTACTATTTTTACTTTTTTCAAAAATTTTAATAATTTTATTTTCTTGTTTTACTAACATTTATATATTGTTGCACTTTCTCAATAAGTATTATAATGAAGCAAAAACAGAATTCTGTACTGAAAATGGAGAAAAAATGAAATTCTATACTGAAAATGGAAAAAAACGGAATTCCCTAAAATCTGAACAGGAATTATGGAAAATTTGAAAAGGAAAATTGGACCAATAAATGTTTCTTCTGAAAAAGTTTTAAAACTTCTGGACTTTATCTCGTATATTAAATTATTATTTCTTTGATTCTTATGTTTTGCTGTATTTTATTGTTATTGTTTCAGGTTTGTGGACTATATGAAACGTATCCATAAAGAAATAATCTTGTTTTGAAGAGAATAAGACTACACAGGAAAATATATTTGATGGTGAAATTCTGATATTTCTTCTCTGAATTTTTTTGTATTGGGTATTTTTGTGGGTTGAGTTTAATGGTGTTTACATTGAAGATTTTTTTTATCTACAGAGTGTCCATAAATTATCAGTTCTATTTTAAAAATTCTTATAAATTGAAAAAAAAATGAAAATATCTCTACAGGGTTTATTGAAAACAAATAAAGTTTTATTTAAATACATTAGAACACTTCCACATGGGCCACATTGGTTGCACACAGCACAACTTGATGATACACAGTTTCTGTTTTTTTGCAAGACACTTTCTGTTTCTGTTAACTTCTTGTGCCAGACACAGATGCTAACACAATTTGGTGTTGTTTTTTCATATATTTTACAGTAATGAGTGTCTGATTTGATTTCGATGAACCAGGATACACATTGCACTTGTTGTTAACATATTCATTAAAACTCAGGGATTAATAATAAGGATTTTTAACTCCTACTTCTATACATTATATTGAATTCATTGCGAAGTCAGCTGCTAAGAAAGTCAGTTCACTGTGCTGTGAGAGAGAACTTTTTTTTTCCAGAATCTATCTTACATATCTATAAGTCCACCATTTGTCCATGCTTAGAATATTGCTGCCACATATAGTCTGGTGACCCTGCGACTTACTTTGAGCTCCTTGATAAGATCCAAAAAAGAATCAGCAATATTATTGGTCCTGATCTGGTGGCTCGGCTCCAGTCATTTTCCCACCACCGTAAGGTTGCCTCTCTATGCCTTTTCTATAAATACTTGCATAGTAATTGTTTGGATGAGCTCTTTGCTAGGGTACCTAGACTTTTTGAATTTAAGCGCAGTACTAGACTGGGACGTTGGAGTAATGGATAGTGGTTCAGATTGAGGAATCGGGGAGCCAAGTTCGAATTCCACTCGAATCCATTACATTCACTTACGTGCTAATAACCTTGGGAAAGGTATGAATCCTCTTCTTCTTCCCCTAGCTATGGGTAAATAGCAGGACAGACCAGGTTCTAGAGCCTTGGGTGGCAACTGGTCTACCACAGAAAGAAATGGCAACCTACTACAGGAAAAACATCTGCCTTGTCAGTCATGTATCAAAAGATACATGATTGCCTAATCATGTATCATGTATGGCACATAACTGACTGACTAGACTGGCATCAAGGTCTCATCAATTTAAAGCTAAGCTGGCAAGATGTAGCCATAAATTCTATGGTAACAGTTCTTTTTCTTGCACTTCTCGTTTGTGGAACTCTCTTTTGGCTTGATTTTTTCCAGACAACTTTAATCTGCAAAAATCTAAATACAATGTCGATCGCTATCTACTGTCCTCCTGATTACTCTCTTATCTTCCTGCACATTATTAATGTTTCTGTTCTTAATTCTTCCATGCCCTGAAACCCTTGATGTTTTATTAGTTTTACTTCTTTGCTTGGGGTGATATTGATTAAAAAAAAGACAAACAAAAATGAATTAAAAAAGAACAAACTATATATAATTTAGAACTTTAACAACATTTCTTCAAACTGCAAAGAATTGATGAATCTTAACTTTAATGGATACTAAAAACTGTAGAGGTTATGCTGATAATTTATGGACATCCTGTGTTTTCTTTTATTCTCTATTACCAAGCCAAAATAAAAAAATTAAACAGTCCATGAATCCCAGTTGGATGTGTTGATAATAAGTTATCTAATTTATTAATCAATATTCGATCATCATTATCATGCCAAGCGTGCTCAGATTTGCCAGGCTTAAAGACATAACAAGTCATTTGGTAGCAAATCCAACTGTTTACCAATCTCTCTAGTTGTAGCATTAATTTGTTTTGGGATTTATTTATTTATTTTTTATGGCTTATCAACCCTATATGGGTTATTTTAAAGCCGAAACATATTTTGGGTTGTATGATATTTTTTTTTGCAAGTGAAGATTGCATTAACAATATTTTGGTGATAACAATGATTTTTCCAGATACAAGTCCTACTATTTAATCCATAGCGGGAGGAGAAAAGACAGATCCCAAATGTATTTTTTGGGGATAACAATGATTTTTTTCCAGATACAAATCCTACTATTTAATCTATAGCTGGGGGAGAAGAGACGATATTCAGTCACCCCCCCCACGAGGGTGTCATGTGGCACAAGGCCTTTTTAACGTGGGCATTCCCGAGCCATTAGGCTCGGTCAAAAAATAGCCCATTTGAACCCGTATAAACGGGTTCTGGGCCGGTTTTACCTCCCCGAAGGAGACTCCGCCCTTCGGCGTAGCCTCCTTCGGGTTCCTCTCCGTCCGGAGACAGAGAGTTGAACCGAACACTCGCTCAGAAAGTGGGGGAGAAGAGACAGATCCCAAATGTATTTTTTGGAGATAACAATGATTTTTTCAGACACAGGTTCTACTATTTAACCCATAGCTGGGGAAAGAAAGGATGGATTGATATGTTTTCAAGAGTATTTGTGAGTTAATGTAAGAATTCCGCCTGGAATTTGAACTTGGCTCTCTGATTTCTCATTCCATTACACCACCTGCACATCCTTGCTTTAGGAATTACATGATCCAAGAAATTTTTGGTATTTCCAGTATCATGTGTGATTTACCATTGGTTGAAAATTGAGATTGCGATCAATGCTTTCATTGTGCCAGCACAACCTCCATGCTGCATCCTATCACTTCTTGTGTTTTTCACATTTAGTCTGCAAGTGTGTGGATGAGCTGTATAACTGATAGATATACAAATGTCCACCCAAAGCAGTACTTGCACCACTACTTATAGCACTCCAGAAAATACCTGGCTCCACCTGCCAGAATCAAACAAAAAGATGGAATATTGCTGCTACATCTTGGCTGGAGCTGCTCACTTTCCAACCTCAACTGAGTTCAAAAGCATTTACATGGCCTTGTAAGCAATAGATTATTTTCCACCATACAAATCCTTTCCCACAGGTGAAACATTACAAGCCTGTCACTACTGTATCGCTATTTCCATAAAAAATGTTCTGATGAACTGCATTCCCTAGTCCCACTACTTCTGACCTTTATAACTAAGACTCATTATGCCATGTACATCAGAGGGAACTATTGTCATTCCCTTCATATTCCATTGGTAAGGAGGAAGTTGTGTTCGGATAGCTTCTTCCTAAGAGTCACCACTTTATCGTACAGATTCCCAAGAGCTTGCTTCCTTGACCAATACACTTCCTAGTTTAGAATCAATTATGTTATCTATCCTATATATCCTCATAATCTACAATTCTTACATCCGTAAAACAACCAAATTCAGTAAGTCTCTACCTTGAATGGCTCTTGGGCCTTGTATTTGGAAAACAATAGCATAAAAAAATTTACAGAGTACTCAAGGGAAATAAAATGTAATGTTAAATCTGAAATGTTGAAGTCTTGATGTTTTCATTAATTTGTGCAACTACTTCATGACATATTGGTGACGTTAAAAAGTGGGGAAAGAGCCAGAAGTTACCATGGATTCACAGCCTAAAATGGAAAGGGAAGGACAAACAAGACAATCTCTGAGTGACACTTCTATTTTGTCAGATCTGATCCCAAAAAAGCCATATATACCGGGTGTAACAGCAAAATTGTCAAAATTGTGTTAGATTAAGCTTTGAACTGTTGTATCTTATTGGAATTCTCCAACACTATTGAACCCTACTTTGAGCAATAAGAATCTATAATTACTCTCCAAGCTTAAAAGAAAAATTGTGATGAAATCGATCATAAACAGAAATGATATGTTCATCATTAATTAATCACAGCTAAGGATTGGAAACTCATGAAGGATTGAAATAAAGTTCAAATATATATATATATTATTCCAGGATCGTTTTCCAACTTATTCAAAATGACTTTCACCCTGTCTAACCTTCTAACTTTCTGTTCTAGAGTAACAAGGTGGCTTTCATGTATGATTTCATTTTCAAGTCTTTTTTCGCTGCTCTTTGGACTGTGGTACATGTAACTCCTCTCTCACATGCCAAACATCTTATGGAGATTGAGTTGGATTTTTTCCAATTGAGAAAGAGCTAAAGGGTTCTAAGTTGAAATGATGATCCCTCTTTCTGTTGTGACCTCCTGATCCAGTTTTTCTCTGTACTGTTCCCCCTTTTTTAAAATTAATCACCATTCTCTTGATTGTTCATGAATGGACTTTGGTGATGGAAGCCAGAATATGAATGTTGGTACCACTACTGATGGCCTGAATGATCTTTTTCCTCTTACCATTGCTCAGTTGGGAAGACAGTGGGGTTAACACAAAACGATTTTAATCAGTTCTCTTTCTAGCTGAATAACTCAATAACTTTTCAGTGATTCTTACAGCAAATGACATCAAGATGGCTAAATGTATTATCTGAAAACCTGGAAAAATGTAGCCCAATTAGTTTAGTGTTATTTTTTATATAAAAAATTTTTTGGGATGGACAATTATGGTGTTACATGATTTGGACAATTTTGCTTTTACACCCGTTATGCATGTGTGTGTGTGTAATATAAAAGGTTTGTCACTTAGCTGATTGGTGTTACCTTCAGAAGTTTGTCCACTCATCAGAAGACATCATCCATTTGATATATCTCCATGTTATATATATATATATATATATATATATATATATATATACCCATTTCATATATCTCCATGTTATATATATATATATATATACCCATTTCATATATCTCCATGTTATATATATATATATATATTTAAAAGAAAAACAGACCACTTTAAGGTACCATTATAATAATTTATTTCACCAGAGTCCTTTTAAAGGATGCCGGATCATCAGATAGCACTTCCAAAAATGAAATGAAACAAAAAATGAAATTAAAATTGATGGGTAGTGTAAGTTTTTGTAAGTTTAACAGAGAGTGTAAAAGGGATAGTTAAAGAGACATGGTAGAGTATAGGGAGGGATTAATTTCATCC